CGCTGTGTCTCTGTCAAATAAATAAATAAAATCTTTAAAAAAAAAAAAAAGAATAGTTAATCCTGGGTTTCCTGAGATCGACATTTTCTAAGAACCGGATACCTGAAAAGAAGAGCTACTTCCCAAATTGTGTTTGCTCCCAGGACAGGGACTGCCATGGCAGCAGCTGTGCAAGGGGGACATACACACCAAGACAAAGTTCTGGAATTCCATGGTCTCATCTGCTTGCTGGGAAATCATTATCATTTCACCTGTAAGTGCAGTGACAGTGTCTGCATGAGGAGTAAGTATTAACTGAAAACTATTTCAGACTGAGCAAACCAATGAAAGCTATTAAAAGTGCTTAGGAAGATACCCATCAGGAGTGGCACAAACCGAAAGGGGAAAACTTGCTTTTGAAATAGACAATCAAAATCCCAACAGACTGTGAGAATCTGAGATCTAATAAGTGAGGGACGTAAGCCAACCAAATGCTTATTGGGGCTTTTCAGAGAATTTGAAGGTTTTTTGCAAAATGGGATTTCTTGCCATTCCTGAAAACATTGAGGTTAGTGAAACTGAAGGAAAAGACACTGTGGGTGGAGTTAGAAAGTATATCCAGAGTTGGGCAAATAAACGTTAAATATGCTTTGTCATTTTGTTCAACATTTTAAAACATCAATTTTGGGGGCGCCTGGGTTGTATACTCAGTTAAGCCTCCGACTCGTTTTCAGCTGAGGTCATGATCTCAGGTTCATGAAATCAAGCCGTGCGTTGGGCTCTGTGCTGAGCACAGAGTCTGCTTGGGTTTCTCTTTCTCCCTCTGACCCTCCCCCCCCGCTCTCTCTCTAAAATAAATAAATCTTTTTAAAAAACACATCAATTATGTACCTCATGTGTTTCAGACAAATTTCTAGGAACGTGGAATGTATCAGTGCACAAAATGTAAAAAGAAATTTCCCTCCTGGAACTTACTCCATAGTTGATGGAAAAGGCAATATGCAATTCATAAATTATATTAAGTTGCATAGTGTAATAGAAGGTGATGTGTCCTAAGAAAAGAACAGCGAATGGGTAATGAAGAAATTAGGAGTTTGGGATGGGTTGAGGCAGTAAACTGGGTATCTATATTTGGACTCATAGTGAAGACGACAACACAGGAAATATTTTAGATGGTTTATTTTTTCCTTGTCAACTATTACATATCCATCATCTTGCCTTACTGAATGAAACTGGAACTCCAGAACAACTGACTAAGAGAAAGGAGCAGCTATCTGCCCTTTGTTTTAATATCATGGGAAAATTTTAATAATGAATAATAAGATATAATATTTTAAGAGTTTCTTTGTAGACATCATTTATAAGATTAAGGAGGATTTCTTCTATTCTTAGTTTAATATCTCTTTCAGTGTAACAAGACCGAACAATTGGCAAATTGAAATTTGATGTAAAAACTACCATTTGTAATATCATCAGATGTAGAAAATACTTGGAGATATGTGAGATATGTGAGGGCTATAAAAAGAAAACTAAAACACATTGCTAAGAGGGGCACCTGGCTGGCTCAGTAGGTGGAGCATTTGACTCTTAATCTCAGGGTTGTGGATTCAAGACCCACACTGGGTATACAGATGACTTAAAAATAAAATCTTAGGGCACCTGGGTGGCTCAGTCATTAAGCGTCTGCCTTCGGCTCAGGTCATGATCCCAGCGTCCTGGGATCGAGCCCCACATTGGGCTCCCTGCTCTGCGGGAAGCCTGCTTCTCCCTCTCCCGCTCCCCTTGCTTGTGTTCCCTCTCTGGCTGTCTCTCTCTGTCAAATAAATAAAATCTTTAAAAAAAATAAAAAATAAAAAAAAATAAAATCTCAAGGTAATTACACAGTATATATGAAACCAGAAAAAAATAAATACTTTATGATTCCAATCATATAAAATTCTAGAAAATGTAGTCTACTGTAAAGGAAAGTAAATCCAAGTTTGTCCAGACAGCCAGAGAGGGCAGGGAGAGAGATTAATAAAAATTACGAGGTAAATATGTGTGGGACTTATATGCTCATTATCACAATTATGACGATTTTGTGGATTATACTGTCAAATCTTATCAAACTATACACTTTAAATATGTGCAGTTTACTGTACGTCATTATAACTTAAAGCTTTAAGCAATGGTTCAAAATAAAAAAATCTCTCCCACTCCTTATAAAAAAAAAAATCAAATCTGGCAACCCTCTATTATATCACCTCTCTCCTAATGTTTTGGGAGGGATGCCTTACCTCAGTGATAGCAAATATTGGTGAACAATGGAGGATGTTTCCACCTTAGTCACAAAGGCCATACCGCTGGACTAAGAGATCTCCCTTCTCTCTATCCTTGTTTTCCTGCATGTGCAGTCTCAAGGTCAACAGCCCAGAAAGCAACAGGAATCCACAAAACCTTAATTTCTCTCTGCCAATGACCTCAGCTATTCAAGATACACAGGCCAGGAGGTACATACTCACTCAACACAGCCAGAGACACTGGAATAGCTGTGGGTGCACTTTCAGAAGAGGGATGTTCCATCTACTTTACTGCAGGCTCCAGCATTCCCTATCAACCCAATGTTTCTCACCAATTATGATTTCCCCCCCCGGGAATTATGATTCCCACCAACTATGAGTCCTTTAGTGTTAAAACCAGTGACACTACCCTACCAAATTCTGGGCATCAGGGCACGTGACTCTTCTGAAGGACCTGGGGAAGAAAGTCCCCTTAGCTGTGTGGTCATTACATGATACGCACTATAAACAAAGGAACCAATCCCAGAAACACTGGGGATGGTCACAAGTGCCCGCTCCTCAATGTGACCTTTGGGCCCACAAAAAAAATCTTGGCTTCCAGGCTGCATATTAGTTGTACAAAGCCTGTTGCCCTTGGAGGCACACCAAAGTTGGGAACTGTCACACAAGCCATTTACCCCTTCATGATGTTTTCAAAGCAACCAGTTAGTGAATACAACCCCCAAGATTAAAGGTGGCTTAAACAATAAGGCCTTTATTATTGCACAAGTCATAGCAAGGTCAGGCAGGCAGTTTATGGGTTGGTGACATGGAGACTGGAAAAATCCATCACAAGTGTCATATGAAAACAGTGTCCCTGAAGACAAACCTTCTCTGCAAGCCACCAGTAGAACCCAGATAAGGTCTTTTGGGAGAAAACTGGGTCAGGTATACACATTAATCAGAGAAAAGGGAATGATGTTACTCTAAAGGCTCAGGTTGCTCATTCTTTTCTCCAGACAGAACACAGAGATCTACTTCCCTAAACAGTGGGATAACTGATGCATACCATGGGGGCCTTTCTAGGCAGTAGCGCTGACTTATACTACGAAAACTGGCAGTCACACAATTTCAGCAAGGACCCCAAGCCGGTTAGGAAGCGCAATATGGTTCCTAGAAGCTTCCCACGTACCTGGAACTTACAGGGAATCTTCCCTGTCGTGTATATTCAGATGTATGAGTTCAACTTCAGGAAGACGTCTCCCTCACAAAGGCTCTCCTCCAATGTCATTGTATCAAACATGTAGAAAGCCTGCTCCTTGCATGGCTATGGCTTTGCTGTGTGAACTTTCTGGTGCCCAATGAGGTGAGACTTCCGGCTGAAGGCTTTCCCACATTCACTGCACTCATGAGGTCTCTCTCCAGTGTGGACTTTTTTGTGTCGGATGAGGTTACACCTTCGGCTAAAGGCTTTCCCACATTCACTGCACTCATAAAGCCGATCTGCGTTGTGAACTTTCTGGTGCTGAATCACAGCAGACCACTGACTGAAGGCTTTCCCACATTTGCTGCACATATATGGCCTTTCTGTGTGGTGGTAAACTTTCTGGTGTCTAATGAGGTTAGACCTTCGGCTGAAAGCTTTTGCACATTTGTTGCACTCATGAGACCTTTTTCTGATGTGAATTTTTTGGTGTTGAGCAAACTGGGTGTCACTGAAGAATTCTCCACATTCCCTGCACTCATGAGGCCTCTCTCCAGTGTGAACCCTTTTGTGTTGAATGAGGTCAGAGTTGCGGGTAAAGCATTTCCCACATATCTTACACTCATAAGGTCTTTCTCCACTATGAACTCTCTGGTGTTGAATGAGGCCAGAACTTTGGCTAAAAAATTTCCCACATTCCCTGCACTCATAAGGTTTCTCTCCAGTGTGAACTCTACGGTGTTTAATGAGGCTGGAGGTGTCACCAAAACATTTCCCACATTCACTGCACTCGTAAGGCCTCACTCCAGTGTGAACTCTCTGATGTTTAATGAGACTGGAACTTTGGCTAAAGGATTTCCCACATTCACTGCACTCATAAGGCTTTTCTCCAGTGTGAACTCTCTTGTGTACAATAAGGCTGGAGCTCTGGCCAAAGAATTTCCCACATCTGCTGCATTTATAAGGCTTTGCCCCAGTGTGAATTCTCTGGTGTTGAATGAAACTGGAGATGTGGGTGAAGAATTTCCCACATCCATTGCAATTATAGGGCCTTTCTCCGGTGTGGACTTTCTGATGCTGAAAGAGGTTAAACCTTCGGGTGAAGGATTTCCCACATTCACTGCACTCATAAGGCCTTTCTCCAGTGCGGACACTCAGGTGTTGAGCAAGAGTGTATTTGTGGCTAAAGGTTTTCCTGCATTCACACCAACTGCAACGGCTCTTCCCACTGGGAACAGCTTCCCCACACACGGTGCAACCGTGTGGTTTCTGCCCATTATGAGTGGCCTGGTGCTGGTGCCGGCCTGAAGTAGTGAGGAAATCCTTATCAACCTCCCCATTGGTAAAGGACTTCCCTGACACATGGGACCTGCAGCTCTTCACAAATGAAGCCCATTTCAACAGTTTCTCTCCACTGTGCTGCTTCCCATGCTGGCGAAGGTTTGCAGTGAAACAGACTTGTTTCCTACATGTGTAAGATCTCAACTGGGGACGTGTTCTCTGATGCAGAGCCACACCCAAAATGTCTTTTAAGACCAGACAACATATCCCACAGAGGGGTGCCTTCTGGGGATATGGGCCTGCATGGTGAGTCCTGACCTGTGACACTCCTATAGAAGCAGCCTGCTCTGAAGGTGCCTTCCCATCCTCTGCTCCATGCCAGCAACCTGAAAGCAGAGAAATTCTAGTGAAGTAGATATAGGCAGTAGTGGGAAGAGGCAACACCATCACAAATGTGTGTCCAACACACCAAGGAATGTGCTGATGGCACTGTTTCCAGGATGAAGGAGCTGGGGTCAGGGTAAAGAAGCTGCTGCTGTGGGGCACCTGGATGGTTCAGTCAGGCTTCCCACTCAGCGGGGAGTCTGCTTCTCCTTCTGCCTCTCCCCCGCACTTGTGCACTTGCTCTCTCTCTCAAATAAATAAAATCTTAAAAAAAAAAAAAAGAAGCTGCTGCTGTTTAGTACTGGGCCTCTACAGGTCAGACAGTGAGGGTGGCCTCTCCAGGTGAAGAACACAAGGATGGGATGTGGCACAGAGAGGGGCAGCAGGCTCCAGCAAATCCTTGCTGACAACTGCAGAAAGGTGTATCTAAGCTCAGGAAAATCCAAGTGTAAGAGAGCTGGTGTTTAAGAACTATGTGAGTAGGGGCGCCTGGGTGGCTGAGTCGGTTAAGCATCTGTCTTCAGCTCAGGTCATGATCACAGGATCCTGCGATGGAGTCCCGCACAGGGCTCCCTGCTCAGCGGGGAGTCTGCTTCTCCCTCTTCCTCTGCCCCTCTGCCCCTCTCCCCGCTCGTGCACTAATAAATAAATAAAATCTTAAAAAAAAAAAAGAACTATGTGAGGATATGTACACACTTCATGATACAAAATGTGTAGGGCGATGTGAGAAAGCACTACAGAGGAAGCAATAAGAGGAACTGGTGACATGTGGAGTCCAGAGAGGTGGGAATTAACCAAATTCAGAGCAGAAATGACAAGTTAGCAAGTGTCAAGAATGGGGAAGTAAAAGTAGAAATGAGGTGGCCGGGGCGCCTAGGTGGCTCAGTCGTTAAGTGTCTGCCTGCAGCTCAGGTCATGATCCCAGGCTCCTGGGATCGAGCCCCGCATCGGGCTCTCTGCTCCGCAGGAAGCCTGCTTCTCCCTCTCCCACTCCCCCTGCTTGTGTTCCCTCTCTCGCTGTGTCTCTCTCTGTCAAATAAATAAATAAAATCTTTAAAAAAAAAAAAGAAAAGAAACGAGGTGGCCAATGGCCACCAGTGGAATAGGACAGGTTTCTGGTATCATCTGAACACAGAGTTCTCTCCTACTTAACACTTCTCAGGGCCAGGGCTCCTCTGAGCCCACCTTGCTGTGGCTGGAGTCACGTTCATCCTGGGAAGCACCCAGGACTCTCCTCCATATCCCCTGGTTCGGGAGCTAAATGGGACATGCATGATGCAAGTTCTAAGGGAAAGGTGGGACAGATGAGTGACCAGCAGTGGCCCAGAGCAACTTAACACATAACAGACCAGAGGAAAGAAAACTAGTATTACAAAAAAATCCTCAGAGGAGGATCCTGTAAGAACTGCCTGTAGTCCACATAAGTACTGACCATGTCAGTGACTACAATTCCTGGAGCAGGCAGGGACAGGAAATGTCATCACCTATAGGAAGGGGGCAAAACCTGGGGCAGAGAGGTGCAGTGGACTTGGACAGAGTCAGCCAGACAGCTGAAGGGCAAGCAAGGTGGAAGCCATTAGCATAACTGCAAGACTTCTGACCCCGAATACCTTCCCAGTGAGGCTTTGGTGCAGTGCACTCAACTAGCCCTAAGGACTACAACTAACCAGGGAACTGGGGAAGGAAGCAATGCCCATGCTTGTGATGGGAGAAATAGGGAGCTATCCCTGGGATAAAAGCAGAAAGCCCAGGTCTCTGGGGAGGGAATGAGGGCCTTACCCAGGGCGGTCACAAGTGCCAAGTTCTCCAGCATCACATTCAGGTACAGGCGTCTCTGAGCCTCATCAAGGAGCCCCCATTCCTCCCAGGAGAAGGACACGGCCACATCTTCAAATGTCACACTGTCCTGTCAGGACAGAGACAGATGATATCCCAAAGAGCCCCTGTCCTAAGGACCTATAATCCCTTCGCCCACAAAAATCACCCCATTGGCACCACTGCTGGTCTCTCCTCATGGTCCCATTATTCACTGTGTACAACCCTCAGCAACAACGGCACGCCATCAGATAAATGCCACCTAAACTCTGGGCCTGGCACATAGGGCCCCAACGCTCCTGCTAAGCAATACCCTTGCAGTCCTCCAGACTAAGTGTCCCAGACTCAACCAAATTTGGGCTCTCCCTTCAACCTTAAGTCCCCAACACCAGGACCCTGGGGCCGTTAGCTCACAGTCCCTCTCCACATGCACATCACTGCACTTGTGATGTACAGACTGTACCTTTTACATCTCTGGAGCCCACAGAGGCGCTCTCTCCACCACCACCACGACCCCCTAGCCCCACACACAGGCATCTCCCTAGACTGACAGTGCTTGCTTGGCAAACTCAAATGGAATCCAGTATTATCCAGACCTCCAATGCCTTCCACTCCAAGGGCACTCCAGAATCCTGCTAGGAAAGCCTCCCCTTCCTAGAGAGAAAGCTGGCTCTGTTCTTCGCTTCAGCCTCACCGACCAGAACCACATGCACATCTCAGATATCTCTGGCCCTCTTCAACTTCTGTGCTGCCCTTCCTGTCCTCTCCAGTCACAGCTAAACCTCATTCAGAACTCAGCCCCACTGGTTCCCTATCCCAGGCCTAATAACCCACAGATGACCACAGTGGACTCTGAAATAACCTACCATCCTGACCGAAACATCTCATGCTCTACCCAAGGGTCACCACAAAGTCCTGGGGAACATCATCCTGCCTCAATTACTCCTGTGCCTCCACATTCCTCTCACGTCCACTTTTCCCTTGGAAACCTTGGTTACCTGCCAGATCATCCTCCTACCCACACTTCCCTGCCAGCCACTTTTCTCCTTCACCTGTGTACCCAATACCCTCCACCCTCAACCAGGTGTCCAAGCCAGAGGCCCCATTCTTGGGCCACACCATCTTCTTCTTGGACTGCTAACAGTATTACCACCAGGACCTGAAGATTCCCTTTCCTCAACGCAACCCACAGCTCCACCCTGGTTGACACTGCGGCAATCACCTTTGGGATGGCTCCATCCTGAAACCCCCTCCCTACCAGACTGTGTGTGCAACTGCCCACTTAATGCCTCCACTCAATAGTCTCTGAAACATCTCAGGCTTAACACGGCTGAAACAAACCTCCTGATACCCCACTGAAAACTGTACCCATTACTGACTATCCCATCTCAGTTGATGGAACTTCCGTCCTTCCAGCTGTTAAGACCACAACCTTTGGGGTTATCCCCAACTCCTTCCTTTCTGTCCTTCACCTTCCACATCAAAAAGTCTGGTTGGCCCTACTTTAAAAAAAAAAAAAAAAAAAAGAGTCCAGGATCCAACCACTTCTCCCACCTCGATGGCCACCATTTACATCCAACAACACTCACCTGGCCTATTACAGCAGCCTCCTTCCTGGTCATCCTTCTCCCTCCCTTATCCCAGAGTCCATTCTCCACTGTGCAGCCATACGAGGCCTGTTAAAACCTCGGTAAGATCACTTTGCTCTTAATCAAACCTCCTAGTACCTCCAGAATTGACAACCGACCCCAAGGGCAGCCATTCCAGCCCTGCTCCTGTCCCTTTGTTTCCATGAGGAAAAAAAGGGAAATCTTCAGCTCCCTTGACACTCCCAGCTGCCTCCAAGCATTTGCACACACGGGTACCTGTTCCTGGGATAACCTTCCGCACCTCTTTCAGCTGGTTGCCAGAAACAAGAACCCCTCCATATAACCCTCAGCCTAGACTCAGGACTCTGTGCCTGGACTTTCTCCAAGGTCTCCCAGACACTAGGGCTGGGAGAGTGGCAGACAGAGCCCCAAGACACCTTAATCCCAGAAACCACTTGGGAGGAGTCAGGACCAGTAAGGGACTGAGACCCTCCCCTGACCCGGGCTGGCCTCGTGAAACCTGTGAAAAGAGGCAGGCCCCAGAGGAAGGCAAGCATGGCCAGGCTCCATGGGCTCCGATCTCCCTATATTCCCGCCCGGCCCTGGAGCCAGGTGACCTCCGCTGACTGTCCAACCTTTGTGCCTCAGAGAGGACTCTGACCCGGGTGTGACCTTGCACAGGAACGTCACCTGCCGGCACCTCACTGTCCTCATCAACCCCCTCCAGTCTATTCTCCTTCCCAGCAACCTTTGGGAAACTTAAAACCCTCAAGGAGATCGTGTCTCTCCTTCGGCCAAAGTCCCCTTGGCGCCTAGAGTCCTCACCTGAAGGTACGGCACCTCGGCCCGCAGTCCGGGCGTGACTCCGCCTCACGCTCCTCTCTGTCCCCCGAGGGCAGAATCCTCCCGCCGCAGCCCCCCTCCAGCCTCGGCCCCGGCCGCCCTCGGCCCGGAGCCCGCTCCCGCACGGGGCCCCCGCCCGCCGCCGCCTCCCTGTCCCGGACGCCGGGGCCTGGCCTTCGGGGTCTGGGTGGGGGGATGGAGGGGAGGAGGGCCCGGGGGACGAGCGCTTACCTGAGCCGGGTCCCTGCGCGCGGCCGCCGCCATCGGACTCTGTGGCGGAGCGGACACCCGAGCCGGCGGTCCCCGTCCCGGCCCCGGCGCGGGCAGTCTGGGCGGCGTCACCGAGCCGTGGACCCAAATCTGCGCGGTGGGGACAGCGCCTCCTCCCGACCCTTCTCTGACCCCGTCAGCTCACTCCCAAACCAGTGCTACAGCAGCATCCCTAAACCACGGTAAGCCCTGAAAAGCCAAAACGACCGCCAACAAGAGGACGCCGGAAGTCCCGCCCCAATATGACGGGCTAGCACAGAAGGGCCCTCCCCTGAGCCTTCATTGGCTCAGCGCCGCCAGGCGCTCGGACAGAGCATTCTGGGTAATGTAGTTCCCACAGCTCTGCAGACTCTGCGAACGATGCACCCACACCTACCTCCCAGGTAAGTCAGGCAGCACCGCGAGGATGGCCAGGAAATGGCCTCGCCAAAGAGAGACTGGAGCTTGCCTCCTTAGGGAAGATCAGCACCCACACTTCTGGGGACGTTGTTGCAACAGATCGCCAAAGTGTTTAGAAACATGTTATTTCAGACTCCACGAAGCCGAGCTTGCTTCAGAGGCCAAAAATATTATTTCAGATGCCCTCAAAAGGACACAGATCCAAACGGACATATCATTCCATCGTTACTCGTAACAACACGCGTTCGCTCCGTAGCTGGAAGCTAATAAACATCATGCTATTGCTTTTCAAATGCAGGTACCCCGAAACTTTGGAGTCAGTTTTGTTAGTTTCAGAATTTTAGGTCAGGGGCAGTAGAGAAGCCTCCGGATAGGGTCATGGCAATGAAAATAGAGGAGGAATGGATGTTGGACACTCTAAAGCAAGTGGACAAGGGTAAACCAGGCTCCGGTTCCCTCAGGAAATATCTTTCCTGCCTAAATTATTAGTGATTGTATCCAACCCAGTGAGCAGTACTGTTTTATCCATAGCCTATTTCTTACTCCATATCCTGAAATATATTCAGTTCTTTTTACAAAATGATAATGGCACAACTCACTACTATGGCCAATGACCTAATAAAATGTATGCTTCTTGTTCTCTTGTTGCTCTAGATGTATCAATAAAACTAATGAGGGAGAGGAAAGGGAGGATTAGAAGGGAATAAAAATTAAATTGAGGAAGGAGTTGAGTAACTGTTTAAACTGAAAGGAGGGGAAAAAGAGCTCCTTTCTGTATTCTAGGTGTGGGCAGCCACTTTGTGCAGGTGATAACCAAGTTGACACTAAGGACTAGTCACTCACGGGGAGAGCCAGGTTAAAACAATCCAACACAAAGGTAGATAAAGTGCCAAAAAGAGATGAGAAAAAGCTTGGTGAGGTGGAAGGAGATCAAGTAGCCAGAAAAGGGCAAGGGGGACAGGATAGGAGGAATAGGAGGAGCACAAATGTGAGCACAAATGAGAGCACCACATGAGGCTCAGGTGTCTGATCTCACTTCTTTTCTATGTACACTCACTACAGTGGGGGAACCTCAACCAGGCTCGTGTCTGATGACATTCTCTCTGTACTTAGGACTCCAAAATTTACGTCTATATATCACACTTCCTCCAGGAACTAAACCATACCTCTATTCACCTACTCAGCATGTCCAGATGGGCTTGAATCTGCTGTCTCCAGTAGTCACCATCTTGGTTCATAACAGCTCCATTATCCTAGGTCCTCAGAACACCAACCTGGAGGCCACCCTTAACCATGTTCTCCCTTGTCCCTCATAGCATTCATGAGCAAATCATGTGCTACTTACTTTCAAAGGACAAAAAAATCTGTATCTCCCTACTAAATATGTTAATAGCTGATCCAGCTACCATTTTCTCACCCCTGATTTATTATAGTTGTCTCTCAATGATCTCCCTACTTTACTTGTTAATTTATGGTCTAATCTTTAAATAGTAGCCAGAATGACTAATCTTTCCCAAGTAAAATCATGTCACTTCCCTTTCCAAACCTTTCAATACATGCTTCTTTACAAATTAAAATCTCGATTCTTGCAATAGGTTTAAAGGACAAACATGACCATGTCTTGGCCCAACCCTATGAACTTTCCTCCTACAGGGATGGCTTGCTGCTTATTCCCTTCAAGCCACCGGCCACACATAAGGACAGAAGTCAAACATCTACTGGCTATGCCAATTCACCATGTATTATGAGCCAAACCCATTCACTTCTGGTGGGTGAATTTTAGGCAACTGATTTTAAGTAACCTTCCTTCATAAAATAACTCACCACTGCAACCCTCTGACACCCACTTCCACAAACAAATTTCAGGCTTTTAAGGTTAAATGCTGTACTTATTACATTGTGTTTCTCAAACTTTTAACAGGTGTAAAATTGTGCTACGGCATTTATTGGGATTCTATCTTCTTTTTTTTATGTTTTACTGATTACATTT